TTTGTTATTGTTGTTTGTTATTGTTGTTTGTTATTGTTAAACTATTATCATTGTTAAAAATTGATAATTTATCCCACAATTTAAAAGCTTTCAAAAATTTCACTATTTCCTCCTTAATTTCTTCCTTTTTCTCTCACTTTTGTTCAATTTCATATTATATAAATAATAACTTACATGAATATTCCATCCTTCTTTCACTAATAATTTGACCAAATGTAAACTTCCAATATGTGCTGCATGATGAAGTGCTGTATAACCGTATTTATCCTTATGATTGCGATTTGGTTGATAATATTGCAAAAAATGTTGCACTAATGATTCTTGATCAAAAATTATTGACCACATAAAACATGAACGACCATCACTATCATATTGTTCCTTAAAATATCTTCTTTTCGAAACTTTTTTCTCTTTTTTTTTTTGGTTCAATTTATTTCTTCTGCATTTAATAGTAATTTAGTGATAAATTAATAAGAATTGACCATTCGACCAGCAGATATCATCAATCGGTCAACAACACTACGATGACCACCCTGAATAGCATAATGTGCCGGTGAAATACCGAAACAATCACGTGTAGCATTTCGAGCTTTTGCTGCTAACAATTTCTTGACCACTTCATCAAAACCACTTTTTGCTGCATAATGTAACGGAGTACGAGCATCATTATCAAATGTCTAAAAATTTTGTTTTGAAAAAAAAAAGACAAATTTTAATTAAATTTAATTTTTCCTTTTTCTTTCTTTTTTTTTGAACAACTTTTCTCAAATAGCTAACATAAAAATCAATAAACAAATAAAAATTTTTAACTTACAAGTAATAAAGTAACATTTGAAGTTTATACTCTACAAATAAGCATAATTAGATTAAATTAAGTAAACAAGTAATCAATTTGTTTATGTTTAGCAATGATGAATAAGAAAGTTTTCTTCATTAAAAAAGAAAAAAACAGTTTCTCCCGTACAGTGATAAAACGTCTTCCGTGAAATTTCACAACAAGAATTAATTAGTCCAATCAATTAATGAGATAAAAGGTAAAATAGGTAAAATGAACCTCTGAAGGACATTCCAAGACATTCAGCAAAATGTCAACAACAATTGTATTTTGTGCAATTACCGCAAGATGCATTGCCGTACGACCATCATTATCACGTGCTGTTACGGAACTCATCTTTCGACTTCCAAGTAAACGTACCACTTCTGGTGCTAAAACAGAGAAACCAAATTAATAAGATTTAGATTTCTCAAAATTTGCAATAATTTTTTGCATTTGTTTTAAAAAGTTATTTTAAAAGTACGAAAATAATGCAAGAAAAAAAGAACTCATAATTCATTTTATTTAAAGCACAAAATTAAGCACTTTATTGTTTAAATAAAAAATATGGAAATTTTGGAATAGAAATTTAAATTATTTCAATTGTGGCAGCATTTATTTATTCGATTCGTAAAAATTTATATGTCTTTTTTGAGAGAGAGAGAGAGGGAGAGAGGGAGAAAACATTTTCTTTTTTCGTTCTTTTTTTTTCGCATTTCCAAAATTATTGAATGAATGAATTTGATGAACCATCGGGATAACAGCTGGCAGCAGCACACATCAATGGTGTATGTCCATCCCGATCCTTCTGATCAACCGGTAATCCAAGTCTTTCATCAAGCAATATCTCACAGCATTCCAATTTTGCCATACATGCAGCATAATGTAACGGTGATCGACCAAAATTATCATTTACCATTTGATAAAAATTTTCACTATCTAATACGGTTGACTGAAGTAACATCTGTAAAAAATGATAAAATTGTAAATTGTATTAAATTTAACGAATAATGATTAATTCTGTTACCTAGTTTATATTAAATATCTGATAAAAATCATATTTCATTAAATTGAGAATCAGAAAATA